TCCAGTCTGGGTGACAGAGTGAGACTCCAACTCAAAAAAAAAGAAAGAAAGAAAGAAAACATATCTGGCCCACAGAGACAGGAGCATGGGGCTTCACTGCCCCGACACATTGCCGGGCAACTGTTGAAAGGCATTTTGTTCCTAAGGCATTTTGTTCCTGACTACTGCCTCATTCATTGTCTTCAAGTCCTGGAATGTGTGATACAAAGACTAATGTATAGCCAATCAAAAGCTTATTTTACTTTAGTGTAAATTCTTGGGAAACAATTTAGAAACTCCCTCTTCTTTTCCTTAAAAAATCCACTTGTAAATCGGGCTCGGTAGCTCAGCCTGTAATCCCGCGCTTTGGGGGGCTGAGAAAAGTGGATTGCCTGAGCCCGCGGGTTCGAGACCCACCTGGGAACTTGGTGAAACCTCATCTCTACAATAAATCAAAAAAAAATGAGCCGGGCGTGTTAGCGCGCGCCTGTAGTTCCAGCTACTTGGAAGGCTGAGGCGGAAGGATCGCCGGAGCGTGCCACTGCACTCCAGCCTGGGCGATGGAGTGAGACTCCAACCCCCCCCCCAAAAAAATCCACTTGTAAATGCTGCTAATCAGAGTGTATATTCAGAATGACTTGAATATACGGGTTTCAGTCCTCAAACTTGTCGCAAATACTCTCCTACTTACGTTAATTTTGCCTCGGGATTTTTTTTCTTTTAGGTGGACACAAGACGAGGACCACAAAGTGGCTTCTGAACTCCCAGGTAAGGTCTTCTGCCTTAAAGGGAGCCTTAGAAGAGCTTCCCAGGTAGAGGGGTGGGAGAGTGCCAGTTGAGTTACAAAGCAACAGAGGTTTGCAAAACCCAGAACCACGCCCCGCGCCTTTTTCTTCTTTATGCACCCTCCCTTCTGCCTCTTTTTCCGGTCCCTCTTCTAGGACCGACCCACCTTTTCCGGTCCCTTCCCCGAAGACCCGCCCATCTCTTCCGGTCCCTCTCCCAAGGGCTTGACCATCTCTTCCGGTCCCTAGCTGAAACTCTGCCTCTTTAGCTGTGCCTTTTCTTCCGCCATCCCCATTGGCGGAAAATCCAAGCCGCCCCTCGAGTTGGGGAGGGAAGGTTTCCCGGTCCTCTGTTCCCGGAAGTGACGCAAAAAGGCCCGCCCCTGAGGATGTGACGACGGGAGTGCCCTTGACGGGCAGGGAGGGCGGGCCCGTGCGTCCTTCCGCTCGTGCTGCAGGGAGGTAGGATTCCTGAGGGGGTGGCTCGAGGTGGTGTCGCGGCTGAGGCGCGCTGTGGGCGCCTTCCTGTGCCGGCTGCCGGGGTAGCGGGCGGAGGCCCCGGGCGGGGGGACCTGACCCTCCGGAGAGCCAGGGTGCCTGGTGGCGTTCGATTTTTCCCAGTTCCCTGCACACATGTCCCTTTTTTGGTTCCCGTCAACACTTGTCTCTTCTGTTTTTGGTTCCCCTTACACACCTGTTCCCCTCACACTTCTGTTCCTGTGCCTCTTAGTTCCTCCTTGAATTGTTGGCAGTTCACCTTTCCTGATCCCATTTTCCTCCTTAATCTCCCAATAAAACATTTTTTTTAAAAAAAAGCAACCGATGAGGCCGGGCGCGGTGGCTCCTGCCTGTAATCCCAGCACTTTGGGAGGCCGAGTAGAGAGGATTGCCTGAGCCCACGGGTTCGAGACCAGCCTGGGCAACATGGCAAGACCTCATCTCGACAATAAATCAAAAATTAACCGGGTGCGGTGGCGCGTGCCTGTAGTTCCAGCTACTTGGAAAGCTGAGGCGGAAGGATCATCGGAACCCAGCAGGTCAGTCGAGGTTGCGGTGGCCGTGAGCGTGCCACTGCACACCAGCCTGGGCAACAGAGTGAAACTCCAACTCAAAAATAATAATAATCGATGGAGTAAGAACTTTGCAGACAACGTTGGGTTCCGGTGTTGGCTGTCATTTAATAGTTGGGTTACCACCGGGCTCGGTGGCTCAGCCTGTAATCCCAGCACTTTGGGAGGCCAAGGCGAGTGGATTGCCAGAGCCCACGGGTTCGGACCCACCCGGGCAACCTGGTGAGACCTCACCTCTACAATAAAAAGGAAAAAAAAATAGTTGGGTTACTTTGGGCATAACTTATCTGAACCTTGGAATTCCTTTCTTTATCTGTATTAGGGGCAGTGCTATAGCAGCTTTCTCAAGGTTGATCTGGGAAGGCCAGTAATGTATGTAAGGGACTTGCCTGTTAGCAGGTGCTCTATAGATATTGGTTCCCTCTTCCCATTTTTCTGTTATAATTCCACCTAAATCCGATTTGTTTTTGGTCAACCCAGTTTTCCTGTCCTGATGTGCCTAGCCATTCCTTCTTCCCTTTGATTCTTGCTCCTCACTCATCTCTTCCTCACCGGTCTTACTATTTCCTTGCATTTTGCTTCCAAGTCTGCATCTTCTTGAATCCTCCTCCCTGCCCTAGCACTCCCAAATCCCTTTCAGTTTCTAGTGTGTTGACTTCCTGGTGTGTGCTCAGCTCTTCTTGCATGTTTCCTTCACAGATGGCTCAGCGACTTCTCCTGAGGCGCTTCCTGGCCTCCGTCATCTCCAGGAAGCCCCCTCAGGGTCGGTGGCCACCCCTCACCTCCGGGGCCCAGCAGATCCCACAGTGCAGTCCTGGTGGTGTGACAGTAACACCCAGCCCAGTCCAGACAATATGCACCACCAGAGTCTGTTCAACCACCTTTAACATCCAGGATGGACCTGACTTTCAAGACCGAGTCGTCAACAGTGAGACACCAGTGGTTGTAGATTTCCATGCACAGTGAGTACTGGGGGCCAGTGGGAGACTAGGGTCTTACTTGTTCAACTATTTATTGCTTACTGCGTCCCAGTACATGTTTGATGCTTCTGGTATGTAGACAGACTGATCAGATGCAGTCAAGGATAGCGCAATCTGGTAGGAGACAAACTAGTGAGTAGTCTTCAAAGCTGACCATGATTGGTACTGGGAAACACTTAGATTCTGTATCTCACTACCCAAAAAGCTCAGAGTGATCATCAGCATGGACCAAAGTTGGAAAAATACAACTGTAGCGTCACCTGGCTTTTAGTGATTACCAGTTCCTGGCCCTGCAGATGAGTTAATTTTATTTTAACATCTTGCCATCAAAACTGTGGGAAGGGCTGGCAAAAGGCTATCAGTGCCACCACAGTGGTGCCCAAGCATGCAGGGGATGGGCAGGAGATTCTTTTCAGTGCTGTGTGAGTTCGTTTTAGAGATATTTACATACCCCCAGCCTTCTGATTTTTTAGCCCATCCTTTTTTGTTCCTAGACCTTTAGGGCCTGGTTAGACATCTGACTATAAAAAAGCTGAATAAACCCTTTAGGGAGGAACCATGTAGCCTAACTTAGAAATTGAGAAGCCTTCTGGGCAATCTCTGACAGATTCTTTTGCTGTCCTTCTGGTTCTTTCTCTGACTCACCATATAGCCTTGGGAGGCCATTTCTTATTATTTTGCTTTCTTTCTTCACTTATAACAGGAGATAAGGTCCTGCTGACTGAAATCTCTGAGTGTAAAGGGTTTTTTGTTTGTTTGAGACAGGGATCTCACTTTCTCCCAGGCTGGAGTACAGTGGTGTAATCATAGCTCACTGCAGCCTCAAACTCTTAGTCTCTAGTGATCTTCCCACCTCAATCTCCTTTGTAGCCAACACTACAGACACGAACCACCATGTCCGGCTGTTTTTTCTCTTTTTCTTTTTTTTTTTTTTGTGTTGGAGTCTCACTCTGTCACCCAGACTGGAGTGCAATGGTCGCTCCTGGCCACCGCAGCCTCGACCTGCTGGGCTCCGGCGATCCTTCTGCCTCAGCCTTCCAAGTAGCCGGAATTACAGGCATGCGCTACCACGCCTGGCTGATTTTTTGATTTATTGTAGAGATGAGGTCTCGCTGCCCAGGTGGGTCTCGAACCTGCGGGCTCAGGCAATCCACTCACCTCAGCCTCTCAAAGGCGCAGGATTACAGACTGAGCCACCAAGCCCGGCTTGTTTTTTCTCTTTTTAAAGATAGGATCTAGTTATGTTACCCAGGTTGGTCTGGAACTCTGGGCCTCAAGCTGTCCTTCTACCATCATCTACCACACCTGGCCAAGCAGCCTCTCTTTAAACCTACACCATTTAACATCCAATCCCATATTTGTTTTAAGACAGTGTATTTCTCTGAGATATTTACATAAGTAAAATCACCTTTATAAGAGTTTTGTAGGCTGGGCATGGTGGCTCACACCTATAATCCCAGCACTTTGGGAGGCCAAGGTGAGAG